TTTCTCTGTTCTTTCCATTAGATATTTCACCTGCAAATCTAATTTAAAAATCTTGAAATGTTTGATTGTACTGACAGGTCTTTTCATATTGCTCGAGTGTGCATTCTACTATATTCTATCAAAGCTGTGATAGCTCAACCTTACTTGTCCAATACTCCAATAACACAATTTTAAATTTTCATTATGATGGTGTATATACTATTTACCCCGGGTACTTAAACCAAATTGTAGCAGACGGTGTAACGTATCGATTAATATAAACCGGCCACCGGAGTTGACTTTCCATCTATAGTTTATATATTTTAAGTGTTAAATACTTCATAGCGCAGTTTTGGGGCAATTTGATACTTAAAATATTATTATTTATTATTGGAGATTGAAGAATATTTTACCATAAATAAATAATAATTGTTTAAGTTTTATTATTTAACAGCAAAAAGTCACGTTTATAATTTTTTTTTAATACCACTATATAATACTATTATATTATAGAAAAATTGAACTGACTTATGTCTTCTAGTCGATATAAATTATCATTTTACAAAAATTGAATACCTATATTATACGTAAAACGATATTATATTACAACATTAAAAAAAAATTACACACCAGGTGTATTCATGATTGTGTACAATACATCATGTTTGATTTATCATATTATAAACAATATTGAGCACTACGTGTATAATGTGTAGGTACATATTGTTGATGTATCTGATAAAAATGTGTACACACCACACGGTCGTAATTATATACATTTAAATACATTTTTAAGATTAAATCGAGTATATAGGTATAGGTATCAACGTTACCAGTTTTACAAGTTAAATAATTTTGAGTCCAAAATAATTGATTGTGTTTGCACGTTTGGCAGGTGATTCCGGGATTAATTTATATTTGAGATTATGTACATATTATACCCACAAGTCCCGTACATGCCTTCCAATATATGACTGTATAAGTATGTATTCGTTTATTGGGCGTACGGTAAAGTATTGGCACATGCTGCAGGACCAGTCATCACGAGGTCATTTTTTTCTACAAATTGTGTTCGGTTTTTTGGATTTTCGTGTTGCTCTTATCTGCTGCCGACTGCTGGTGTGATAATATCATAATACTATAAAACAATTTTAATTCGGCCCGCTGTTCGAACAAGTCGACAAATTGTATTTCACGGTTGATGCGTATATTATTATTTGGCGTCAGTCGCGTTGCGTTTGTCTTACATAAGCGCAAAGACTGCTGTCTTATTTGCATAAGAAACGAATTTCGGTATTTTTTTTCCAGATCTGTGTAAATTTACATGCACCCACCGATACACAGGCACACAGACACACACACATACACAATACACATACATATATAATTTATATATATATATATGCGTTTTATAATAATATATTATTCACACGTTTAGTTTGTGGCCTGTGCTTTTTCATACGCATGCGTGCACATAGTGTTGATGAATAAACAAATACTCGCGAGTAGGTACCACGGTTCGATATCTCTATCTAAAGATTTAGATTTTTGGTGTCATCTGCATATCATTATAATGTTATTATATTATATCGAAATTCGGCAGTTTTATATACACATGAGTGGCGAACGCAAATGTCGTCGCCGCCGCCGAGTACAGATTTAATGTGGTGGATTTTAGCGAAACCGACGTGTGAACATTTAATTAGTCGAAAGGGGATAGAACATTTAAAGAAAAAAATAACGAAATCGGTCGTAAAATTTAACAATTCAGACTCCGATTTAAGTTGTTTCGTCTAGTTGTTAGCCTTAAGTCACATTTCCCACCACCGCACCGCTGTTATTATTGTCACGTTTATTTCAAAACGAAATGTATTATTATTATTATTATTATTTTTTAAATATTTTATAAAGCTTGAATCTTATTAAAACTCTACTCCTACACAATAGCGACGAGACATCATTATTATGAAATAGTAAATGCTGAAAATAATAAAAACGAAAATGTTACCTAGTAAAATAAAATTTAACTTGATAATGATAATGATAAATATATAATGTTTATGTATAGTATTTACCTAGAGGAAATTATAAAAAGAATAAATAATACAAAAGAAATCTCTATCAACTCACCGTTTATTTGTTTATAATTAAAATTATTCATCACTTATAAATTGCATTCATTTCATTCATATAAACAATCATACTTATCTATTTTTTTTGCTCTTTAAACACCTTTATATCCAATCTATAGTTAAGACGTAGGTACATTTCGTGTAAGAAAACATTCTAATTGTACAGCGAAAATATTTGACAAATAATAATATAGTTATTATAATATTATTATTTGACTTAAACGGCAAATAATAATATAATTATTATAATATTATCCTTTAATCGTTTCCCATGTAATTTTCGATATAAACGACACCCATATTTTTCTAAATATTAATAATATTTAATTCCCAATGCGCTATATTTAGAAAAATTGACACTCAATTATTTTTAAATTTTTTTCACTAGGTAGCTGAAACAATGGTGATTGTGTTTCCAAAGTTCGATAATTTTATAACTTTGTGTGAAATTGTTAAATAAAAAACCGTTTCTTAAAATAACATAACATTTTTTTATGTGTTATTTTTAAAAGCACTTGAAAATGTTTTTTGAATAATATGCCAAATAATAATAATTATGTTTATAATATCGCTTCGAATATATTTTGATATAATTATGTATCACGATGTACAGCTGATATATGTATACTTTTATTAAATTGAATTACCTACTTTATAACACATTTAAATCGTTTGTGGTCATCCACCTATATAGGTTATACGCATATAAATATGTATGCAATACAGCTGCAGAGCTGGGTGGGCAAAGACTTGACGTATATAATATAATAATAATACGAATCTTGAGATTCGGACGAAATTAATATTTCGTGTCTCTATCTTATCGTACGACCAGTGCAGATTATCTTATTTAAAACCACACACAAAAAATATTTATTCCCTTCGAAGTATCGAGTATGCATTAAGTAGATATATATAAATGTTATAGTATATATATATATATGTATATATATGTATATATATGTATATATATATATTTATAATAAATGCATATATGTACTAGTTTTAAATTAAATAAAAACGTCTTCGAGTTTACACTATAACACAACGCGTTATCGGACACTTAAAAATCGAATAATACTTTCGTTTAATCTTAACGAGGTACCTGTGTTTATATATTTTTTTTTCTTTCGAGAAATTAATTGAAATATAGATGGATCGTATTATATGTGGCGTTTAATACGAAACACGCGCTTGAGATAACACGAGATTAGCCGAAGGGAGGGGATGTTTCATTAATATATTATATTATTTTAATATATTCGATTACTACAGCGTGTAGTTCGGTCGGACAGTCACTGGCTATAATGATTTTGTATATAAAATTATTATTATAATAAAGCTTTATAATAATTATTATTATTTTCTTATTTTTTTTTATTTATATGGCCACACCATCGTCGTCGTGGGTCACTTTTCCCGAAATCGTTATGACTACTGTCATCGCCGCGCGCCCCGCAAACCAGTTGGAAACGATGGTGGCGAGAGAAGGGCAAAGTGGGTATAGACGTATAATAATAATATTATATTATATAGAGAGGTATTTTAGTGTGAAAGGAATCTTAATAAGAAGGTACTTCTGGTGTTTTGTCACATTGTCAAAATTAATTACGTGGCTATTCGGAAACCCGTCTGCAGCCGACAAAAACGGTCGACCGGTCGCCCTCTCTTCAGCCCCGTCCCACTAGGCCATCAACCCCTCACCGCTCACCTATCCACGAGCACGGCTCTCCTGCAGAATTATCCTTTTCTCTTTTACTCTGACTTCACTCCAACACCGTCCGCACTCGGACTCGCGTGTGTAGGTTATCACTCTCTGTCTCTCTTTGTCCCTGTCACTGTCTCTTTTCCCGAATCGAATTATTTTTTTATGGAAACACTATATGTATATTATATAGATGCATACACGTACAGCGTTATAATATTATATTTTAATACCGAACACTCTTTCGGGTTTGCCTTGTTGTGTCCGTCGTCCTGGAAGACCATCGAGACGACATCTCACACCGACCTCGCTATATAATATTCTTATATATTATTGTATATTATATTATTTTGATTATTAATATTACGAGTATATAAAATGGCCTTGGAACGTTTCGGGCTTTCTTATACCATTGGGTTTTTTCAGACCACAACACTTTAATCGATACGTGATTAAATACGAACGGTTATCCGTTGACCCTTAGTCAAACGTCAAAAACAAATAACTTACGTCGGACGAATGCGAGACAAAAAATATATTATAATATCCATACACGCGCGCGTGAATCCATATTTTACTATCGTCTATCAAGATGACACATGTTATGTTCTGCAAGACGAGTTGAAAAATTGTTTTTCCATCTAAATACAATATATTATTTAAATAACTGGCCACGTAATATTATGTACCAATATAGTAATATCATAATATAAATGAACATTTAAATTAAAATAGATTTATAATGGTATTTTTTGTGGAACAGTTCATTTATTTTATTTATTTTCAAGCATTTTAATAACATATTTGTAAAGCTTGATTCAAATTCAAATCGTTCATTTTTTGTTTCAATGAAACACTACGAACATAATAAAAAAAGACAATGTTTCATCAAAGTGAGAATTATATTGACTTACAACAATGTGTTTTAATAAAATGAAAATATTTAAAAAATGTATCTGAAAAATCATAATGCAATTATTTTAAATTTAATATTGAAATCTATTTTTATAAACATATTGTATATTAGTTATCTGCTGTACGTTGACCTGTACGGTCGTATTGCATTTTTCGTCGGTCGCTTATCGCTATTTCTATATTTATTACCTATATTCCAGTGTATATCGATATATAATTTGTTTTTGCGTACTTTATATTTCTTTTTATTCTTTTTCCGTCTATTTAAGATGCCCGTATGCAATAAATGTTCCGTTAATATTACTAAAGCATGCTCCATAAAATGCATTGATTGTGACTTAACATGGCACGCAAAATGCCAACAACTCACTAAAGAGGATATCGACTACTTAAAAGAAGCCAATAACATATGGCGATGCAGCAAATGCGCTAGCGCCAAAAGAGCCTCTCTTAGACTCGAAAATTCAACAAACCTAGAAAGTAACGAACTACTTGAGATCAAAGAAATTATTTTACAACTCAGAGATTGCTTTCAAAATCACAAGGACGATACAGCCAAAAATTTTGAAATTCTGAATACTAAATTCAACGCTATTGATAAAATTATCACAGAAAACCAAGCACTGAAGACACACATATCTCAATTGGAAAAACAGATTGAATCCATAGAACGTCGCCAAATCGCCAACGACATTATCATTGATGGTATTCCCGAAAATAAAAATGAAAACTGCTCAATACTTATTAAAAATATTGGTAAACAGCTAAATGTAAACATAAATGACTCTATGATTAATGATTGTCATAGAGTTGGTTTTAACCATAATAATACGCACCCTAGAAGAATCCTAGTCAGCTTTAGTAACCACCAAGTTAAAATTGATTTTCTCAAAGCTCGACAAATATTTAGGAATTTCTCTAGTAAATTTATTGACATCCAACCGGATGTACCTATATATATTAGAGAAAACTTAACAACCAAGGGAAATAAATTATTCAAAGAAGCCAGAGACCTAAAAAAACAGCTAAACTTTCAATTTGCATGGACAAAAAACGCCATAATCTTCTTACGCAAAAACGAAACAGATAAGATTATACGTGTCGACAGCGAGGACACAATTCAAAACATCAAAGGACAATATGAAAATTTAAACTCCTAAAACAAAAATTTGTAAATATTAATCTTACATATTTCTTACTATTTTACTATATTATATATCCTTCTCCTCAAATTGTAACTCTTATACTCTTTAGTCATTACATATCATATAATTTGCTATTATCTCACTCAATTACCTATCTATATTACCGTTTTCAAACCTTTTATAATCACTATTTTAATGTTATACAATCTATCAATTATTATTATTTATTACTAGCCTTAATGGATTTATCTGTTAACACCATACTCATATCGATCCCAGAATTACAAAGCACATTTAGCCAGCTTATATTACTTTCTCTCAAATCTTTATTCGAACGATATCGCTATCTGCGTTTCCATAACACTAATTGGCTCTACGATCAGTTTTACGTTATAAATAACAAATTGTATATTATACCCTACACCATATTATTATAATGAATGATAATACTATTCACGCATTTTTACATGAAAACGTAAATACCGTGAACTCGGTTAACTGCTCTTTTGATAATCTAGATACCTTAGTATACAAACAAAACTCACTCAATATATTGACAACAAATATCTGTAGTATTAAAAAACACTTTGATGAACTATGCATTATTCTTGATAACATTGAAACCAAATTTGAAGTGATTGTTTTAACTGAAGCATGGCTAGGTTTAGATAACATATCAATTAATAATTTCGCAATAAACGGTTATACAACATACTCCACCACAAACAATAAAAATCAAAATGATGGTGTTGTAGTCTACTTAAAGGACACATTAAGCGATATCATTGTTACCGAAACCAATACACAAGTATTAACAGCCCTAGAGATTTCTTTTAAGATGTCAAAAATTGACTTTTTGATTTACGCGATTTATAGATCACCCAATAGTAATACAGACGTAACTTTACTCGAGCTTAATGATATAATACTTTTAAATTCCACTTTAAAAACAGCTAGTTACAAAATGTTTTTAGGTGACTTAAATATTGATTTGATCAAACATTCTAAAATACGAGAAGAGTACCTACTGGTAATGGCACAGTTCGGGTTTGCATCGCTTATCAATACCATCACCAGACCAATTTCAAATACCTGTATAGATCATATTTTTATTAAAACAAAGTCCCATGCTAACATAATACCAATAATTGTACTCTCTAACATTACAGACCACTACCCGACAATACTTAGTTTAGGCAATATATTAGATAAAAGAAATAATATGCCAAATCCACTTAAAATATTAAAAACTGATAATCAAAAACTATCAAACTCAATTGTAAACCACAATTGGTCAGAAATACTTGAATTCACTGATGTAAATAAAGCCACTCAATATTTCACTAGCACTTTAAATAACCTAAAAAACCAGGCCTCAGCTGAAATATCTATCTCCTCAAAAACCAAAAAATTGAAACCATGGGCCACTACCGCGATAATTAACTCAATAAGACAAAGAGACCGTCTCCATTTACAAGTTAAGAAACACCCCCTTAATTTAAATTTAAAAGATTACTACGTAAAATTTAGAAACAAAATTACAAAAATAATAAAAACTGCAAAGATCCTTTACTACAAAGCAGAATTACTAAAATCTGGAAATAACACAAAACTTAAATGGCAGACTATTAATAATATCTTAGCAAAAAATAAGAAATCAAGTAACTTTAAAGAATTATTAAATAACTGTAAAAACATAAATGATTATACTGATGAAAACCCCGAATATATTTTGGCTGAAAAATTTAATAAATATTTTACAAATGTAGCTACCGATTTAATTACGTCACTAAAAAACCGTAAAAATACCTACAATTACACTACAAACTTCGACTATAATTTGCAAAACAAGGTATACTTTAATAAATTCGACCTAATCACTCATACTGAAATTTTTGAAGCTATCTCTAAATTAAAAAACGGATCTTCACCCGGTCTTGATAAGATACCCTCCGATTTACTAAAAAAACATAGTTTAACATTTTGTAAACCATTAAGTCATATTTTTAATCTATGCATATCACAAAATAAAGTACCAGATGCCTTTAAAGTAGCTATAATAACCCCCACACATAAGAAAGGTCCTATCTCAGCTCTAGAAAACTTTCGTCCGATATCAGTTATTTCAAACATAGCTAAAACATTTGAAAAAATCATAAAAAAAAAACTTATATCTTTCTTAGAATCAAACAATCTTCTTTTTGAATGTCAATTCGGTTTTAGACCCAATAGAAGCACGGACCAAGCATTAACGAATGTCACAAAACTTATCTATACTGCACTCGATGAAGGAAAAAAATGTGCTACAATTTATTTAGATCTGGCTAAAGCCTTCGATACAGTGGATCACAATAAACTTCTAAGTAAAATACAGAATATAGGCATAACTGGATCGGCCTTGTCTCTCATTAAATCTTATCTAGAAAACAGAATACAGAGGGTAAAAATAAACAGTACTATCTCTAGTGAAAATATTATAAAATGCGGAGTACCTCAAGGTACTACACTATCTCCGGTTCTCTTTAACATCCACTTAAACGATATAAAATTACTTAAGTTAAATAGTAAAACAGTGTGTTATGCAGACGACACCGTACTGATCTGTATTGGTAGTTCTTGGAGTGAAGTATGCCAAAACATTGAAGTCGATCTTAAATCTATCCATAATTGGTTGAGCGATAACAGTTTATTTCTAAATCTCAATAAATCAACCATCTTACTCCACTCACTGTCTGAACAAACTTTACCACCCATACACAATATAAAAATCCACGAATCCAACTGTAATACATTGAAAAGCTGTGACTGTAACTCGGTTAGTATTGTCAAAAACTGTAAATATTTAGGCATAGAAATGTGCTCTGATATGAAATGGATAAACCAGATTACTTCTGTCACAAATAAACTAAAAAAAATGATATACATAATGAAAGAATTACGTGAAATATTGCCTTTCAAAGACATCAGAACTATATACCTAACACTATTCGAGTCAATAATATCGTATGGCATAATCGGATGGGGTGGTGCCTACAACAACGCCCTTCTACCGCTCCAAAAATGCCAAAACACTATACTCAGGGTCGCAAACAAAAAAAATTGGAGATATCCAACCGAAAAGCTTTACGAAGACTTTAATGTCCTCAATATAGAACTCTTATACCTAAAAACAATCACCATATATCTGAAAAAACACAATCAGTTAGATTCTATAAACCATGGGGTCAACACCAGATATGCAGATAGTAAATTTTCCCTAGATTGGCCCTCAAAAACTAGTTGCCGAAAAGTTTACTATTTTTTGGGAACGCAGATAGCTAACTTAATGCCCAATGATATGGTTAATTTACCGCTACCCATATTCAAAAAAAAAATTAACCACTGGCTACGATATGAATATGTGTGTAAAACATAAAATTGTATGTAACATACTAATTTAACGCTTATAATAGTTACTAGAATTATTTATGTGATTTATTTATGAAAAACTGCTTATTTGTTTTTTAAAAATGTAACATGTACCTTAAAACAATAAGAATTATTTGTAATCTAAGATAACTCATGGGCCTCCACACGAGTTTTCCTCAGTGAGGCCCAGTAATCTTTCGATATTAATTTAAATAAAAATAAATAAATAAATATTACTACATATTAAATTTTTAGTATATCCGACTATATAATAATTTGAAATCATTTTTAAATCTTGGCTCTTGAAAAATCATTTTAAGTTCCTAAAATATGAACTGTCTATACAAAATCGTACACGTATTGAGGTGATTTTTTACACTGAGTATCGTTTAAAATAAATACTTTATTTTTTCATGAAATTTTATAGTTTTTATAATTCTGTTTCTTTTAGATTCTTATAAGGGTGATGAATGTATTGATTTTACATGTGTGTTTTTTTTAAATTTAATTTTTATTTTTGTGTCTTTCACCAGTTGTAGGACAGTAAAAGTGCTTCGATTTACTTCAACATCATATCGTTTTGAGCTGTTTACAAACATTTAATTTTCAATTTGTTAGTTTTACTAAGTAATATTATAGGCTAACAGACCATCTTCACTCAAAATCATCATTGTTTGTATACTAACCTAACCTTGAATTCAAATAATTTAACGCCATCCATTACAGTGACCCACTTGTAACCTACTGTATAGCTGACCGACATCTACTTACCCATTTATTTTTATTTATTAATTTTAGCTTAATACTATTTGATTTCAGTGAGTAATTTTTTTTTTAGGGGGATGTCACTTCATTACTCCAGCCTTCTTAGTTGAGCTCATATCCATAAACTATATCTATTGTTCATTATTACAATGTTAATTATCTACAGATTTTAGTTAAAACTTAAACCTTATAAGGTATAGGTATAACATTAATGTGATATAAATAAACTGCAGCAGCTTATGCATCTGGTTATAATTGTCCGTTTGTATGCTAACAATGAAATAATACGATAAATTGATAAATAACGTCATAACATTATATATTCAATATCTTGGACCATAGTAACGAGATTTTTTATTCACATTAAAGTTTTTAAAACTAATTATTTACACCTACTACAATCAAATCAAAATCGGACAAAGTTAAGGAGAAACGCTGGTCGTGTTTTAGACCACTAGGGAACGTCCATTCAGTGGAACTGGAGTGGTACTTAAATAGACATACTGCAAGCGAAGGACAACGAGATGATTAGAGGACTAGAGGGATGTCGGATCTGGATGCCATTTAGTTGATGCCGGGGGAGGACGTGGACCTTTGAGGTAACCGAGCCACGTTCTCGTTGGGCCTTTGCGACGGTGGCTTGGCGGGGTGTACTACAGTGATGCGGCCGAAACCTAGTCAGCCGGTGAAGCTGGAGGCTGAGCTCGACGGCGATGAATATATAGAATATGGCATGCAGCGGCACTTGCAGCAAAAAGGATCAGGGTCAGTAGAGTTTGGAGATCAGCCACCGCCGAAGGACCACCGGGAGCATATCATTATGTAATTGAATTGCTGCCCGC